TTTTTTTAGGCTTTAAGGTCTATTAAATGACTTGAACTGTGTTTATACGAGTCAAGCTCAAGCTCAAATTTTTATTTGTTTATTAAACAAGATAAGCTGCGACAACTCGTTTATTATATGAGCACGAGTTTGAACTTGAAATACTCGATTCGAATAATCTAGCTTGACACATGTATAAAGAAGTCAAAGTATGAAAATAATTTTTAAATTTAATATAAATTTAATTTAGCTTGTTTATATCCTGGCCTCTTTGAGCTAGGCACAACCCAATTGGAATATATCGACTCGACATCAGATTATTTAGGGCGTGCTTGTTTAATAATTAATTCGTTCAAAATGAGTTTTTTTTTTTATTAACCATAGTTAATTTTGAAAAAAGTGGTATGGATAGTTGTTAGTGGAATTTTAAGAATGTATTAAAATAATATTTAAAATAAAATAATTAAAATTGATTTGATGTAAAATTATGAGATAAATTATTTGAAATGATTGGAAATGATATGTAGTTGAAATTATGTAAATTGATAAATAGTGAATTTTATTGATTTGATGTGTAAGAATGATTGGTTTGTATTATTTAATTATAGTGAATTAATGTTAAGTTAGATTTTGGATATGAACTAAATGATAGTAAATAATTAATCAACAAGCGCGCCCTTAATGTAGCTCTTTAATATAGTACAACATAAAAGAGAACAAAAAAACAAGGAGAACCGACTACTTCTATTATACTTGGGAAATTTCTTTATTTTCCATTTAACATAAAACAATTTAAAATTATTAGCGATTCCGCAAAATTAATAGGCTAATTTACACACGTACTAAGCTCTAAGGCAAATAATTGCAGATATACGGCTTTCAAAAAAGATTAGCATAAACACCAGATTGATGATAATTAATTATATGTATGCCTAAATTTATTTGCAACAAAAAAAAGCCCTACAACCTAAAATATTGGACATAATTTGTAATTAAATAAGAGCATTAAAATGTCAATTCGTTATATAAGGAATGAGGATATATCCAAACATAATCCTTATTACTTGTTAAAATAGCGTTCAACACAAATTTTTATTTTATATTTTTTGTTTTATCTTTGATCATTCAGTAAATGGGGTTTTTAGTTTTTGAATGGTTTATATATCGTTTTTTTTAATGGTATATATATCATTTCTTAATGGTATATATATCTTTTTTTTTTAATATTGCTCCTTTGAGAGTATACCAAAAATATATTGAACATATACTGACTATAAATCTTTAACGGCAAAATATACCGAAAATATACTGACTATAAACCCATACTATAAAATTTTTAACTATTACATACTGTCGAACTTCTTCCTGTTAATGTCATAAGAAAAAAAATGGAAACAACATAACATGACTAGTAATATACTGAAAATAAATTATACAATTTTCATTGAACAATACAAACAAGAAAAAAAAAAAATACAACATATATTGTCTGCCTAGGTGGAAATTATGAACAGTTTTACACAACAAGCAGAACCTGATTTAGCAAAACCATGAAAGCCAATAAAACAACAAATCCTGAAAAGAACCTGTACATTGCAGTAAATTCAATTGTATGTTGTAAATTCAATTGTTCCTCATTAACACACAAGAACTGTGAAAGAAGGCTAATTCAACATATGACTCAATCAGAAACCCCAAAATTAGGAAAAAAAAAAAACCCAAAATCAAGAAACAAAATTGCCCTATTAATCAAGAAACCCCAAATTTGATAAGCCAAATAAGCTAGCTTATAGCTTATTTTTTTTCGGTACAATGAAGGGGCCAAAGGCCTAGGAGGTTGAGGAGATTAGAACCCGTCGAGGATAGGACACCCCGATAAGATCATGGTCAAGCCAGGCGCCCAAGCCTGTGGGAGGAGAAGCCAGATAATGCAAACCAAGAGGGGAAGAAGAAGCCAAGCTCGCCAGAAAGTCAGCCGCGTAGTTGGCTTCCCTATGTACGTGATGGATCCGCACGCTCCAATCCTTTTGAACCAAACTGCGTATAGCCCGGACTAACGCATCATTAGCTCCAAATCTATCTTCGGGTCCAAGGATCATTTTCGTCACACATAAGCTATCAATTTCAGCGATTACTTGACGAATTCCCAAGTCCCAAGCCAATTGCAGCCCTTGAAACATACCCCAAAGCTCGGCGCCCGTAATGGTGGTATACCCAATATTCATAAGGAATCCCTGTATTCAAATAAACCTCATTTGGTAGGACAAGCTTTTTTAAAAAGCTCGAGCTTATCTCATAAGCTACTTTAGGTAGCTTTTCAAATAAGCTAGTTGAATTTTTTATTCCAGCTAGCTTATCAGCTAATTTTACCAAACACTTTTATCATAATCTAGTCTTTCAGCTATAAGTCATAAGCTATAAACTATAAGCTAAAAAATTACAAATAAGCTATAAGCTAGCTTATCAGCTAGTTTTACCAAACATAGCCTTACATTATATAATGAGATTCTTGACAAACTTCCTAATGTATCATGAGATTCTTACATTTTACATATATTACCAACACCTATTTCTTAACTTACTATATATATTATACATAATTTATATAAAAATTAAAACCATGCCTGGCTGGGCCAGAGCGAGGCGAGATATAAGACCCGGACCTGACCCGCTTAGCTTACGGGTCGGACTTGGCCTGACCAGTCTTATAAACGGGGCAAATTTGTCATGCCCCAAATGCTCCAGGTGGGGCCGGGTTCATGTCACTTTGCCATTCCTACTTTTCTTCTTATGTGATGGTATCATTTTAAATATAACTAATAATAATAATATATTTTTTCAGAAAAAGTATTTAAATTTAAAATAGACTTTTTATTACTTTTTAAATTTAAAGATATTTTTTTTTTTTTCACAAACATATAGTACTAGTTCTCATATTATATCTAAGTGTGGTGACAGTTTCTTCATTTTGTACAAAATCTCATTTCTCTCTCACACACACACACACGCACTCAGGCTTCTCAATTGATGCGTCAGGATTCACCTTTCCTCTCGAGCCGATCTTCCGCCGCATTGATGAAGTGGAGATACGAATTTTAATTTTGTATTGGTGCTCGTCAATGGCGGCGACTTTTTTTTTTTTTTTTTTNATTATTGTAAGTGTAAATCTTCTTTTCATTATATTTTTATTGTTAATTGAAAATTATTTTCATGTTGCTTGATAGATGTTATATTGTTGTTATTATACACATGAATAACAATGTGAAAATGGAGAAAAATAAGAAAATGGCTGAATCCCATCAAACATTCTATAGTCCAATATAATAAAGATAAATTATATTATAATCAAATATCTATCTATAACAATGTCAAAATTGCTACATGGGGAGAATAATGAGAAAATGGTTGAAAACCCATCCAACATTTTATAGTTCAATATAATAAAAAATTATAAATTTTTATTCTACTTAAATATCAACATTTTATAGTCCAATATAATGGGCAGACAAGATTTTTCATGTGTGGTGGTGTCACGTAGATCTAAACGTACTCATAAAAATTTTGCAATTAAAAAACAAAAAATGAATGTCCTATTGGGCCAGCCCATCAAGCAAACAGCAGCCCGTTATCCTTCCACTGCAGAGAGCGGGTGGTTCTCGCTGCTCTGTGAATCCAGCCTCTACGCAGTACCCACCACTTCAGAAACCTAGAAGCCCAAACCTTCGCCTGGGCCACAAGATCCAACTCCCCGCTTGGAACGGGCGGGCCAGCATTAAGTCTGCAATTGGCCCAGCCAGCTGGATTGGCCCAATGTCCACATCACCTTTAGGCCCCCACTTGGGTGACAAGCTTGAGTTACCAAGCTCGACGAGCAAGTTGTGTAATACGGTTCCTTATAACTCCTACAATATCTTTTCTGTTTTTGATGTGGCCTGTGGGACAAGAAAAAGGATTTCAATCACCTTCATTTTTGTGAAGACACCAAATGATATAGAATTTGTGTTCCAAGTATTATTCCCTCTTAACCATACAATATTGTACTTTGAGAAAAATTATGCATTTAACCGCAATAATATTTGCTGGACATCAGCAACTCTGCCCGTCTTTCTTCTTCCGTTATATCATTTCTCTAAACATCGTTTTACCGACTCAAATTTTGTTATTATATTTTGATATGCCAACAAGATTTAAATGAAAAATCTCGTAAGAGTTTTATAAAAATAATTAGCCTTGTGATTCTTAATCCATCAAGTCATCAAATTGGCATGGATAGATAAGTGAACCATATCCCCTCTATATATATGATTCATAGTATTATGAAATGTCAACTTTTATTTTTTGAGAAGTCATGCAGGCATGTATTTTTATTCATGGTTATTAGATCTTTTAAAATAGTAACCAATTGTCTAACGTAAGTTTATTTTAAAATTAAATAATTTTTTTTGTTATTAATTTTTTAAATATGACTTATCATATAAATTGACGTTGTTTAATTTAACATTCATATTTCATATAATAATAATATCTATACCTAAATTTATGAGCGAGTATTGCGCGTGATAAGGTGTATTTTAATATAAAAATTCTCATATATTTTTAAAGTATCATTTAAAATATATATTTTTTTTTATGTTTTTTAGTTATAATTTTTTAGGAATAAATATAGTGTTAAAAACCCATGTACTATCAGTGTTGTACTACTAACTATATTATTGGGAAAATAATTAAAAGTTTCTCGCCTGCTTTACTCCATTTACTAATTTATTTTGAAGAATGATACATAGCCAACTTAGTTTACAACTAGGTTGACATTACAAGTGGAAACATCCACTTGTGTATTTTTTTATTTTTATTATATAATTATATATATTAGTTAAATAACAACATAGGTTTGGATTTATGCTGTTAGAATTAACCATTAATGCTAACGAACAATGAAAAAAGTGTTCTGATTTAATAAAATCGTAGCAGCACGATCGCATCTTAAAGAAAATGTTTGTGATTACGTATTTGCGATTCATTGTAAGTTGAATTTTGACAAGAAGCAATTAATTAACTACAATTGCTACTTTGTTTTGATGCCTACTGGCAAACAAAAAAGTGTAATGAATCTAATCAGCACAATCGGATCTCTAAGAAAGTCTTCGTGACTCAAAGAGTAGGTACCTCGTGCGATGCACGGAATAAAGATATTGATGAGCCAAAATAATCGACTCAAAGAGATTGTCAGTCGAACCGCCTCATCTCGATTGCGTGAGAGTTCAAACGTCTCAATAGCATTCGTCTTCAAGAACCGGGTCGACCTGCAAAGCACCGGGGCGGGGCCCCGGCGTAGACACTGTCACGCTTAAGTCAGAAAACGAATATTTTGATTGTGTATCTTAAGTAATCTTAAGAACTTAGAGATAGAAAATTAACTTGAAATCCTTATTTTAATGGCTCCTTCTCCAAAAAAAGTGTTTCCTCAATAACGAAGGAGTCTCATTCTTCCAAATCACTGTGTGGATATATACAAACTTGCTTAAATATCTTTTAGGATTATTCCTAGATCTTCATGGATATTTTTAACCCATACCATGTATTGCATAAATGGGCTTTAAGCTTCCTTAGACCGGCCCTATCTGAGCTAACCGCTCAGTTGGTTCACCGAGTCATTTTTTGTGCTACATCAGATATTAAATGAGTTGTTTTCACAAGCTCTGTTCGTTTAAGTCTAAAAAATAATAGGGTTATCAACTATTTTCCACCTCTTTTAATCATTAAGTCTAAAAAACAATATTGTTATAATCTATTTTCCACATTTTTTAATCAGCGTTGTTTTTTTAGCCATAATATTAAATATGAGCATGTTAGGGCTAGCTATAAATATTTTTACAAATATTCTACCTATATTTTCTATAAATATTCTACCTATAGTTTCTGTAAATATTTTTAGATAAAATGTTAATATTTGTGAAAAAAAATTAATATTATGGTTATAACTTAAATAATGTAGTAATATTTATTTTGAACAAAAATATTATCAACATGAATCACGAAAAATTAATCTTGTAATTTATTATAATAGATATCAATGAAATTATTGCAGATATTAATAATATTATTTAAGGAAATAATATTTTTGATCATATCTGATTTAATCTTATTTGAAAACGTATATAAAAAAATAATTAATGCATATATTTAAAAAGTTTCCAAAAAAAGTATGCATTAAATACTTCTAAAATTTTATACTATTATTTTTAGTAAATGATAATTCTTACTATATATATATATATAGATTGAACTCTTTCGATAATGAATTAATTAAACTCTAAATATCGTACTCTCTTATTCATTCACTTGGAAATACAGCAATTATCTAATGAGCTTTTAACATATACCTACTAAATCGATATCTAGATAATATTCATAAATTAATTATTTACGAGAGTTCACAATTAAACATTTTTTATATCTAGTATTTACTTATTCCCCAGGGCTCTGACCCTTATAGACATGGCGAAGTCGATGGGTCGGTCCACCTTCTCACTGGGCTTGGACCGATGAGCCCGGCCCGTTCACAATTGAGCTTACATTACCAAAATTTATACTAAAATAAAACAACAAAAAGATGATTGTCCAATTGGGCTTGCCCATCAGGCTTTGTTGGGCCAAGGAGACAGCAGCCCGTTATCCTTCCACTGCAAAGAGCGGGTAGTTCTCGCTGCTCTGTGAAACCAGCCTGACGCAGTACCCACCACTCTAGGAACCAAGAAGCCCTAGCCTTCGCCTGGGCCACACGATCCAACTCCCCGCTTGGAACGGACGGGCCAGCATCCAGCCCCATTAGGCCAGCCAGCTGGAGAAGCCCAAAGTCCACATATCACCTTAATGCCCCCACTTGGGTCACAAGCTAGAGTTACCAAGCTCGGCGAACGTGAATTCTGATTTGGTACATTATGAACTCTATAGTTTTAGCTCTCCTTTCCATGTGGGACTAGAATTTGAAACTCTTTTATTTTGAATATAGAATTTGTTTTCCGAGTAATAGTCCCTATAATATATATTTTCTTTTAGTCCCTATAATCTAACAGCATTGTAGTTTGTGTAAAATTAAATTTACCGAGCAAAGTTTTGCGGCTAACGCTACGATACTTGCTGGAAATTTGCAACTTTGCCCGTCTTTATTCTTTCGTATATTTTAGCTAAAGTCGTTTTACCGACTCAAATTTTGTTATTATAGATTTGGATATATGCTAGCATATTGTTGCGTATTCATATATTTTCTAAAATAAATAGCCATGTAATATTATAATCCATCAAATAAACCTCAGACCCTAATTCATGCTGTTACACATTGGTTGTGGAAAGCTCCAAAAGATGTACCTATCCAATCATTCCATGGCGAAACAGTAGAATTCAATAAGTTTTGCCAAATTGCAAACTGCTTGAATATCGTTATTGTCGAGTGCTTTTGGAGTTAATCCGACTTCTATCAGAGCCAGGTTCATGCTTTTGTATAAATACAGGAAAAATAAAATAACAATCAAACAATATACTAGCAAGTGGCAAACCTTAATCCATTTCAAATGAATCAACCTCAGCAACACTCCATTGAACCTTTTTTCAATAATTAACTACGAAAGTCTGATGCTACCTGAACTTGTAGTATACAGTTCAAAATAATTACAGCCGAGAGTTAACACACTTTTTACTCCCACAGCAAGATGAAACAGTTTCAGGGACATTTACATGCATGCCTGCCTTCACAAAGATAACCACATGCGAAGTCAACTCGGTTTGATGCTTAGTGTATTCATGATCAGCTCCTTTGACTATATACAAACTGTGATTTGGTATATGCTTGTCGAATTCAATTGCATCTTCAACTTGAACGAATTCATCCACTGTACCGTGAACTGTTAACACCCTGCACACAATTTTATTATAAAAGAAAAAGGTCACTACATTTATAATTATAATTCCCATTTCATTATCTTAAATTACTAATAGCTAATTAAAGAGGTTCATGATTCTGCGAACCTGCAGCTTTGTGGTATAGTTCGACAGGCAGCAAGAGTATCAGTTGTTAAACGATCCATCAAGCTCTCCTTAGTCACTCGATACTCAATTTTCCCTAAATTTCCAAGAGGATGTGTAAATTTTTAAGACAAATCAGATATTAATTTATAATTTCAAAACGACATCTGGCGTTTAGCTTAAAACACAAATGAGCTACGTACATTCAGAATCAGAAATACTTAGAAAAGCAAAAAAACTAGGCTTATAATATGACAAAAGGAGATCTATATTTCGTATAAGCAAGTAGACACTAACAAAAAAAGCTCACCCTTTCTGTTTTTCACGTCAATAAATCCCTTCTGCTCGATTTTTTCACGGAAATCTTGACCCAACCGACCTTCAATCCCTCTCCTCAAATCAAAACGGCCAGATATGTTGACGATTGTGCATACGTCGTTGTACATTGAGGCATACAAAAGCACAGCATTCCCCCCTTTTATGGATTTTGGAGTTTGTTAAAGTGGTTAACAAAAATATGAGTAGAAGAATATAAAACAGCACCAATTGGCTTCAACTACAGATTTATGAGTAGAAGCATCTTTAAATGGAAACTAAAAGCTGAAACAATCAATTGGGTGTGTTTGATAAATACAGTCGTAAGAACATAAATGCTCGCACAAATCAAACCACAAGCGAAATCATGAAACTCAACTTCTAAATTGTTCATTTTCAAATTAAGTTTAAGCAAGAAGAGAAGTCAAGACAAAACTCATGTTTGAAAGTGTCTAAAAACACTTTTTTAAATGCAACACACCTTTACTGTGCCCGACAAGTGCTACAACGTGACGATGCTCCTTCTGAAAGTGCTCGACTACAGAACGCAAGTCATCAGCCTCTCGACGGTAATTTCCATACTGAAATGAGCCTTCACTCTCCCTATAAAGCCAATAAAACATTTCTGCATATGCAATTTGACGAAAAATAATACATTTTAGGCAAATTTAAGCAATTTTCTCAACCCCTTACCCATTACCAGCGAAGTCGAAGCGGAATACACTAATTCCTTCTCTTTCAAAAGAAAATGCAAGAGACACCATAGGAATCCGATCCTGAGAATGACCAAGANTATATGTTCCCGACAAATATACTGTTATTTAGTATATGTTTCATTTATACTGATACACTTTTCAATCTTTATATACTGTATAGACTTTTAACTAAGTTTTTAACTAATCAACTGTATATATTATATGTATATGTTGAGTATATAGAACCGCAACAATTATTTTTTTTTTTAAATATATTACGGGATAGTATCAACAAGATCGATTGAATTTTTGAATCTTCTTCAATTTTGTTGCGTCATACGATAGGTAATATACACATTCCATTTATTTTTTATTTTTATTTTTTGCAAATAAAACGGCTCATTCAAATCCCATTATTTAAGGAGAGTGATTTATGTTTGTTGAGGTAACCGCAACATTTAATTTCCACACATTAGGTAAACTTGCAAATTAATTAATTTACTTGGCAATATTGCAATTAAATAGTAAATGCTGTGTAGAGATAAAATTCTCCCAAGTCTTTTATTTTAGAGATAATTACCCCCTTCACCTCCCGATATTCTTTTAAGCACATATATACGATAGTGAGTTTTTAATTGCTTGAATACGAAAATTGTATTTTAATTTTCCTTCTCTCTCAAAATTGATGGTCCGTCAAATTCAATTCTCTCAAATTCTCCTCTCCCTTTCTTTTTCTCTCGTTATCTTTCTTCTTATCCTAATTAATTTCTTTTCAAATCGATCGTCCTCGTCTTCCTTCAAACCCTAAATCCAAATCGAAGGGGTTGGGCCAAGCTATGGAGCCAGAGGACGCGGGATCCGGGCCGAAGGTCGCAAAACACGGTATCGGCTGGAAGCAGACGGCGGGATACAAGGAGAAGAAGGCGACAATTGCGGAGGAGATGAAGAAGATGCGTCGGTTGTCGATCAACAGCAGCCATGTCGCCCACCGTCTGCGTTTGTTGGACAAAGTTTATTAGCTTCTGCTAGCCCTGGTTCGTTTGTGGGGATGTGAATCAAATTGTTGTTATTATTTGTTAATTTTGTAATTAATTAGTGTAACAGGTAGTTAGCTTTGAAGAGATTAGGATTTTGGGTTTTCTATTTTCCCCACTGATGAAGAAGGTTTCAGAATTCTGCGTTTTTCTTTTTCTTTTTGTGAGGTAGTTTGTAAGCAAAAATATTAATGTGATGTTTATCTTGAGTTGATTTTTGTTAAATTATTTTTAAAAAAGTTGTTTGAATTTAATTTTGTCAAATATAATTTGATGATTATGTTGAGTTAATTTTTATAGTTATTGGTTATATATTTTTTTTCTTATCTATGTTTATATTCAGTTTATTTATCGTTTATTAATTGTATTTTTTTTTATCTTATCTATGGATTATATTTAGTTTATCTATAGTTTATTTTCAGTTTATCTACCGTAATTTTCTTAATTATTGGTTAAGGTGGAGGGCTACTGTGGTCTGCGATTCTTTATTAGATTTTTGCATTTATCTTTTTTATTTTTTATTTTTGCCTATTTAATTTTTTTAACTTAGAAAAAAAAAATAGATAACAAACATAAGATTAACCAAAATTTTAAATTAAATATAGATATAAGATAATAAACTTAAGATAAACGGAAGATAATTTAAAAGAGTTCACAAAATATAATTATCGTGATTTTTAAATTAAAAAGGCTTTTGGATTACTTAAGTGGTATTAGTTTTCGTCATTCGTAGTTTGGGAATTCTCTTTTGAAAAGAACTTATATGCGTCCTTTAGCCTTTAACGTTTGCTTTTATTAATAGGCTAATGTACACACATACTAAGCTGCTTTTATTAAATAGTTGTTGGTGTTTCTAAGCAGAGGCCCAATAGGCCCATATGTCAAGACTTTAGCTGGCCCATATTATTCATGGAGTTTGCAAAGTTTTTTAATGGTTGATTTTTAAAATAAAATCATAAATAAATCATTAAAACCGAGTCATAAACTGTACCACAGTACAATATAGAACCAAACTAGTAAGTAGTTCGATGTACGGGACAAATATTTTTTAATTGCATGTATTAAAACAATAAAGAAATATTGATTATCATAAAAACAATTTAGAATGTTATTATTTTTTATTTCTTTTATTATGATACATAATAATTATATATGAGTTATATGTTTATTTCACTACTCTACTTTAAACTTGTCATTTCTTCACTTTTTGTCCAGATATGATATAGTTCTATGAACATTCACGTGCGATGAATGTAAAAAGCCACTCCCCTTTACAATGATGGCCTATATGGTCACATGCAAAGAATGAATAAATGTGGCATAATGTGATGGTACCTTGAGAATCTCAACACTCAATACATAGCAGGAAATTAAACAGGAAAATGTTGAAGAATGAAGAGTGGTACTATCAACACCAGCACATATATATATGAATATATTTATATTTCACATATATTCTTCCTTGTAATAGAAATTAGAAAATGGTGTGGGGAACAACTGGAGCAATCATAAGAGGCACATCATGTTACAAAATTAGTTCTAAATTACTCGTGCACACATATTTTCATGTAAAATTTTCAAATCAATCAGTTAAATTCTGTAATATATATTTTAATTTATGAGTGCCATTTGTATTTGGTTACAATGTATTTCTTTTTATTGTTTTAAATATATAATGGTGTACTATATCTTTTCAGCGCTGTCTAAAATATCACTCATTTATGTACGTAAAGGATTTCTAAAATGATTTGATGTTGATTTTTTTAGGATTGGAAGACCAATTGAACCTATATATATTCTTCTAGATCTGGGGATTGTTACCTCATTAGAGTTAACAAGTGCATGACCAATCATTTAGTTAATTAGTCAAATACATTATGGTTTAACGAATGGAGTTCGATTTTGTGATTCGATTGAATGAATTTGTAGTTTTGATTTCGATTATTGAATTGATGTTTTATGTGGGCTCAAACATCAATCGTTTGTACTCAAAATCTCGAACCATAAAAATTATCTGTGTTATTTTTATTACCACGACTGCTATATTCGAGGTAAATCACTTAAATTAAAATTAAAACAAACGTTGTGATTTTTGTGAGTTTCTTTTTATAAGAAAGCTCCTTAAATAATTTTAATTACCTATATACCTCATATATATATCTCACTACAAAAAAATTGTTATATTCCAACGAAAAATCCTACGATAATATATATTTCAATGGTATAGCTTCCATTGGAATGATTTCAACGAAAATTCCATTGAAAATATTGCGTTGGAATGACTTTTCCATTAGAATTTTAGATGGAATGTGATGATTCCAACAACTATTTTTCAACGGTTTAAGAATTTCAGTTGGAATATGCAATATCTGTTGGAATTTTTATTTCCACTTTCGTTGGAAAATTTATTGTTGGAATCGTCAAAATCCAACAGAAATTACAATAGAAAACTCGTTTCAACGGAATATTTTTGTTAGAATTTCTGTTGAAATTCCATTAAAATATATTTGTATTAAAACTTTTTGTTGGAATTTCATCATTTAGTATTCTTGAAATTTAAGCAGTCACATATACACTATCAAAAAAATTAACAAAGTTACGAATTGCCAATGACAAAATGTACAACATAGATCGAATTGCAACCGACCAGTCTAATTATTACGCTTACAAATTATAAAAAAAGAACTCTAACCGATCATGAGCCCCCTTAATTCATACACACAA